AAGCAGTAGCGTCATGCTGAAATTTGCGCTGGCGTTCTCCCCAAGCCTGGATTGAAGCATAAAGCCCCCCTGCCACCCGACAGCCCCCCTGCACCCAAAATCTGTCTCCTAAGAATACCCGCGGGTCCAAATACAAGATGTTCTTGCCAGCCCGTGTCGGTGTACAGTTACCCGGTTGCAAAGGGACACCCGCTAGCAGGCTGCAGGAGGGCAAGGCAAACGCAGCAGCCTCCTGGAAAGCTGCCTCGGCCTAATTAAATAGGAAAATTGAAAACTCTCTTGGCCAGAAATGACAGTAAATAAATAATACATATTTGGAGCCTCAGTGCACGGAAAACAAAGATTAAAACTGCTGATAATGCGTGTTTGTGAGTTGGTTCTGGTTTTTGTTTTTTTTTTTTTTTTCTTTCTAGAGTTTAAAGCTTTAGATCCAGAATTTTACCCCAGATGTATGGGTGCAAAGAAAATTGTGCCATTATCTTTATGGGAATGCTGGGAAATTCTGGCAATGAATTCAGTTATTCTTTCTGTTGTGATTTTTAAACTGTGGGCTTTTAAGAAGCTGAAGTTTCTGTCAAAACAATCCAAGAAAGCATTTTTTAACTAGATAAGTCCAGAAAAAAGGTAATGCCTTCTTTCTGTTAAAAAAAAAAGAAGTAAAAATGTATTTGCTAGTCATGAGTGTTAAGTGTAAAAGCTGCTCACCCAGGAAATAGATTTCGCTGCTGTTTTAGTGCAGAAAACAGACCTTCCGTTCTGAATGTGTGCTTGAGCAAGAAATAACAACATTAATTGACTTATACGATTCGGCTATTTTGTTTCCTAAAATATTTGCCTAAATACTTATCTCTCATAAATATTTCTAATTATTGTCTAATATTTTTCTTCATAGCCAAATATTTCCCAATAGTGTTTTAGGAAACAAGGGAAATTCTTGTGTATCTCGGGTACACTATGGGCGATGCTCCTGTTGCTGTGGTTTGGGTTTTGCGCGTTCTTGTGTCATTCTTTTCAAGAATGGGGATGAGACTCTCTCCTTGAAAATTACCAGTGTTTCGGTCTATGGCAAACTCTTAAGTGAGGTTGTGTTTCTTATTATTCTGGCATTGCTTTTACTTTTGTTGTTTAAGAGTTTGGGTTTGTTTGTTTGGGTTGTTTTTTTGGTATGTTGCTGGTTTTGGCTTTGTATTTGTGCTTTCAGTCTATGCAGCATCCCAGTGTTTTTGCATCGTACAGTCTCTGTAGCTCCCAAATCTTTATATTGAAAGTGCTTGAACTTTTTGGCTTAGAATCTAAAATCTGCCTTGCACAGCTGGTAATTACATGCGTTTCTCTGTGTTGGGAAGTAAGCGTTCTACCTTGTGTCACTGGAGTCAGGCCAGTGCTGCTGAGGTCAACAGAAATGTTTGTGTAAATGTTTTACTAGTTTGTTGAACTCAGTTAACTTTCAACTTCTTGAAATTCATCCCATGTAATTATCTGAGCATGTTTTGCTGCTTGTATTGAACAATGATAAACTCAAATTTGAATAAAGCAACTCAGCTGATATTTTCTGTGCCTCCATGACCTTATAATTTGCCTGATACATAGTCCACTCCTGCTAGCTGAAAGCAAAGGTGAAGAAAAGAAGTGCAGACGCAGTGTCTCTTGTCGCAGCGCTCCGAAGTGGCTTCCATTAGGAATCGCTGGAGTGGAACAGCTGTTGCTTCCATCCCGCTTCAGGTGTGTGCCTAACATACTCAGGATTGATGTTGATTATTGCTGCTTATTTATAAAGGCTGTAACTAGAGCCTACTGATGGCGATCTGTGCGTTTTACCTGCTTGCTTATATTAATGAATTTGGGCTTATATTACTGTTACCCTGTTTTCTCCTTTCTGTTTGTTGTCCATTTTATCCATCCTATTGTATTCTCATAGCAGCTAGGATTTTACGTGGTTTGAGAGGAGCTCTTTTGGAAATATTTTTCCTCCTTGGTAACTAATCTCTTGTCTATCTCTACCCTAAATTTTTTCTTCTGTCCTTTCTTCTGACCCCCTCTTTTCAAATTCCTTTTCTGTTGCCATTTCTGTTGTGCCCTGCCCATTTCCCTCTCTCGTCTCTGGTTTCTTACTCTCCCCATCTATTTTTATGCCTCATGTGGACACTGTTTTGCTAGTGCGCTTGGTTAAATGGTCTGACCCACTCATCCAAGAGGCTCAGTGTGGTTTTTTTCATTCTTAATCAGGGTGGAGAAAAATAAAATCCCAAAGTTGTTGAGATTTTTTTTTGTCCTTATGAGTATAAATGTGGAAGGGAAAAAAAGTCAGGGGAGAAGTAGAGAATGGAAAGCGTGAAATGGTGGTGGGTGTTTGAGGGCATAGGGAAGAGCATCTTAGTGAAGGAGCATGTCATGGGAGGCTAAGGCTCATCAATTTGTAGATCTGGCAAGAAAAGTATGTGTTAATGATGGCAGTTGCTCAGATATTTTCGGATCATCAGAGATTCTGAGGCTTGCGTAAGTGTCACGTGTGCCGTTTGTAATAGGACTCTGGAGTTTGTTCTTAAAGCAGGTGCTTGGGATGTATTTGTGATTGTTCGGTGAGGAAAATCCTTACACTGTATGAGAATAACAACACCTCTTCTGACCAGCTGGAAGGTAGTACTCATTAATGCAGCTTCTGTTCTGTTAAAACAGCACAGCTTCTTGGATTTGCAGTAGACCTCCTTGCTGTGATGAAGCAAACAAGGGTAATGCCAGCTGCACCTTAGTACAAATCCGTAGCTGTGAAGCTGCCAAAATGGCTCAGTACTTTCATGAACTCAGTTCAGGATAGGACTTCTAAGTTGTTACGGGTTAGAACTAAGTTTCTACTCATTTCCACTTAAAATGCAAATGCGTTAGAAACTATTACAGTTGGAGTTGATCTGTCACAGAGGGTGGCCAGGCTTATTGCCCGTAGGTGGAATTGTAAAGTCACTTTTTCCTCTTCTGAGAATACACGTCTAAGGTAGAGTGGGTCAATAGCTTGTGCTTGTGCCCACAGCACTCTGCCTTTGCTAGGAATGGGAGGATATGAATAAAGGTCACGGAAGACAGGCAAGATTACCCTTCTGCAGCAGGCTGTGTGTTTTGTTTGCGTTAGAGATATCTGAACACTTGAGAGAGTTAGAGAGGCGCTTGAGGAATGAGCCAGTGTGATGTCATTTATTGAGAATGGGTGAAAGTTAATCTCACTTTGCTGTGACTGGGCACAAAGGTAAAGGATGGAAATAATAAAAGTCAGTCAAGGGCTAAATCTGGGATAAAAGGTAGTGGAGGATAAGTGAGTTCTTTGGGAGTGGGAGAAAGGTGTGTGGAAATAGAGGCTGTATCAGGTTCATGTAGAAAGAAAAGGAGAGAGACTAGGGTTAGGAATGAATATATGTAGGATAGAGACAGCAAATAAAGATTTTGAAAGAATGAACATAGTGAGGCTGAGCAGATGGCTAGAAGACAATCAAATGTAAGGGCTAGAGGGTGGGTGAGCGTCTCGGGCAGAGCAGATGAACAGGCGTATGAAGTAGAGCATTCAGTGCTGTGGGTGGATGGTTGTGTTACCAAGTGTCTGGAGAATGATATGGAGCTGCTTGCACCTTCTGCTTGCTGAGTGCTCTGTGTGTAATATCAGCGCAGGCAGTACTGCATACGGTGGGGCATCTGGCCACGTGCTCTTTTCTGCTGCTAAAACGCAAGGAACAAAGATAGCTATAAATTATCCTCCTTTTTACCTGGGCACCTAATGAACCCTATAATTTCTGTGCCTGCATCTTCCTTTTATTAGCATTTCTTTGGAAAAATATATGCAG